TCTCACATCCTGCATCCTGCTAGCTCCATCTGCCTTGAGCACTCCTTTCTTCTTCATCAATACCATTGATTAATCCTTTGTGAATATTCATGCAAATATACCTAAAAGTTTGCTCTATCACCTAAAAATTGCTCCAAATTCTTCTTTTCCTGAAATGTACTATTTTTTTTTCATTTTCTCCCTTTACACAAGTATTCATTCTTCTTATGCACTCTCTCCTACTCTCCAGTTTTCTTACCACCTCCCAGAAAGACTACTAGTCATTCACTTTTCTCTTAATTTTTTTTTCCCCTATACTCTCTCTCTTTTTTTTCCAGTCTCTTTACTTTCATACTCTACATATGGTCAGCATAAGCTTGTCTTCTTGGAACATTCTCTTCATTAATAATTAAGGTTGTGCTCACATGACCAGTCCCCCCAAAGACTGCATTGTAAAACATAATGATGTTTTACACCACTGGTATACACAGTTGGTGATTCAATGGTTAAAAGACACATGATATTAACAACCAGATTAATGGCTTCATGGCCACCACTTTCTAGCCCTCCCTATATATGGAGAAACCAGTTATACTATGATACTCAAAATTCTGTGATCATTTCTATTATTGCTAGTTAGTTGGATTCAAGGGGGGGAAATGTTTACTGGAACAGTTAAGGAAATGGCATCAACTAAACATAAAATAAGTCTGTTGGTTGGTCAAAAGTACTATTTACAATATCCTTGATTCTATTCCAATGAGTGTCTTCAGGAATTTTTTGTTTGTATAATTAGAGACTACTCTATTATATGTCTTTCCTCTGCTATTTTCAAGCTTGAATATAATTAGTAAAAAGAAAAACTGAATTTTATACTCTAACACTGATTATTCCATAGTACTGTCAAATAATTAAATAATTCACCTAAAACCTCCTTTGTCATTTAATGGATTCCCTTCCAATGACATCTTTTTGTTTTAGGCAATTGGGGTTAAATGACTTGGCCAGGGTCACACAGCTAGTAAATTTCAAGTGTTTGGTCTGAGGCTGGATTTGAACTCAGGTCCTTCTAACTGTGCCACCTAGCTGCTCCAATGACATCTTAAATTTTTGTTCTTACTCCTTAGGTATCTGTAACAACATTCTTACAAAATATAGGTAACTATTTAATATTTTTCTATATCTAGTATCACATCATTCTAAATAATTCTACAGAAGTACAAATGGTTTTTATACTGCCTAGAGCTCTTATTTATATTTTCTAGGAAATCACTGATGTACTAGTGGCCTTCCTTTAGATATGTAAATATTTTTGAGTACCAGTGTAACATGGTATTTGTTCTATTGGTCATTCCTTACTCCCTTATGACTAGTCCTTTCCAAGCATTTCCATAGCATAATACAATAAAAAAGATGATTGCACATGACACAGCAAATCTACTATGTACTTTTTTCAATTGTAGATTTCCTTGATCATATATTTTATATTACTTAAGTGCAAATGATTGTTAGCTATTAAGCTGAAACATAATGATATCAAACATACATAAATTCACTATTATTTGTATTATCCACAATTTTGAATCTTCTGGTATTCCATAATTTATGTTATATAACTTTAAGAATCCTGGTGTTAAAAACTTGGGATTTGGGTTAGAGAACAGTTAGGAATCATTGAAAGTACTGTGCAATCTGTTGGGGTTTTTTCCTACTGTAGTTTTGGTCCCACTTTGTTGTCCATCTGCATATCCTGTATAAGACATATATGTGTCTGTGTCTGTGTGTATGCACACACACACGCATATGTATGTATGTATGTATACAAACATATGGAAGGTCCAACTCCATGGGCCCTCTATCTAATTGTATATCACAGGCTGGACAGTGGGCAGTTTTCATTCATTTTATTGTTTCCAGATGTATCAGTCTCTTAAGTGGTTGTGGATTGGCCCTTGAGAAAGCTTGATATTATTCTTGGACTCCAGGCGATCAGGAAAATGGCAATTGAAAACAAGTATCTAAAAGACTTTACCATTTAGGTGGAATATCTATTGTATTTGGGCTCTAAATAAGATACCTTTAATAAAAGTGACCAACACTATATGTCTGCTTGTTTTATACCTCTTAATACTGATAATCAATGATTACTTATCAAAGTTACTCAATGGAAATATCTATCAAAGAATCATATTTCATCTGTACATATGAATGACAAAAATTTTCCTGTAGCAGAGGCTTTCAGACTGCATCTGGCTCTATCAAGTCAAATGCCGTTGTTTATTCTATAATCAAAAAGCACAGTTGGAACCACTATTCTATGATCATAAAGATGCAGCCTGATATAGAAAATTATTTGGGAGAACTAGGAAATATATTACTTTCCTATGTTTCTATCTAATACACTTAATATGTGTATAAATCAATATAGTAAAGATTTTATACAGATGACAAAGTGGAGTAGTATCTCCTCAATTACTTCCCTCTCAAAAAAAAAAAACAATGATACAATCTGTTTGGTTTTTTTTTTAATCACTTAGCATCTTCCCCTCTTTCAAATATTTGAAAATAAGTTCTTCCATATCAGGGACTAAACTATTAGAGGCTTTAGTGGTTTGGTTTTTATCAATGATGAAAATGGTTTGTTATGAAAATGTTAATAAATCTGTTCCATTTTTCATCTATTTGTTGCTCTCTTACTTCTAGTTTACCTGCAATACTTCATCTAGTATAATTGTTGGATGGTTCAGCTAGGCAAGCTTTTAAAATTAATGAGCAAGTTTTGCTGCACTATATTAATATTAGATATTATCATTTTCACCCATAAATATTTGTGGCGTGATCTGCCTTAAATGGATATTATGGTAAGTTTTCTGTGTGCTTATAACTCCCTCCCTATGCTTTACTATTTTGGCTAATATTTTACCATCCTCTTTCATGAATTTTGTTAAATGAGTTTATATTTGAAACCAACAGTAGTGTTTGGCTTACATTTCTCTCTTCTTGGCAAGGAAATCAAATGTTTTCAGTTTGAGATGGTTTGTTTCTGGGTTATTTTGCTGTCCTCACTGAGTCAATTATTTTATATTAAACTTCTACAAAAGTGATAATATTCCAAATTAATGCCTTTTCATTTACATAATTCCCCTTTACCAACATCAACGGTTTTTTGAATAGGTGAGGTTAGAGGTACTATAACTACATGCAGTCTTTTCATTTTTATATATTTTCCTAATTTGGCATTGTTTTACATTTTTTATAAGTCAATGGTCTGACTACAGAGAGAAAGATGATTCAAAAATGACTCCCACATTGGTAAACATGATTTCCTATCTATCCAAATTCTGCAAAATGAAAGTGTATCTATAGCCTCATGGAATTTTAGAAACCTTGGAGATCTTAGAGGCCATCTAACTCAATGTATCCATTTTATAGATAAGGATATTCAATCCAGGAAAAGTCAAGTGACCTGCCCAAGTCATACAACTAATTAGTGACAGAGACAGAATGAAATTATAGGATATTTCATTACTTTTCTATTTTCTTCCCTATTGCATATCTTAATTGGGTGTATAAGGTAAATCTTTACCAAATTATAAAGTTCAATTCATCAACTATATTAAATTATCAAAATGTGAGAGATAGGAAAACATGAATGGACTGAGAGTCACGCTGGTCAGTTCACAGTCAATGATCTGTGAAAGTGTTGCACATTTGAATTCTTTCAAATGGAAGTACTGAATAATGTGCAATTGCTGTTCTATGTGACAGATGTGCACATTTTTTAATAAAAGAGTCTATTTATGGAGTTCACATTAATTTGGAGATATACGCACAAATGGGCACATTAAAAGATACACTGTGATAGTAGCAAAAGAGAGAACCAGAGCACTCTAGGAATATTTCAGCTGTGGGGATTGGCAAAATTTGAACAGTGCTTGTGGAAGTACAGTAGAGCTCTACTTTTTATTACACCTCCACATAGCCATTACACTGATTAAATATGGATTTCTGAGACAATTATATCATGACTACTTCAGAAAAAAACTATTTTTTCAAATATATTTTAAAGCCTTTTGTATACATAGCATCACAAAATTATCTGAATGATGTGTAGACCTTACTTAATTCATGTTAAATAAATTCATCTGAATAAATAACTGGAATTCTCTTCATAGTATAATGTTCCCAATTATTGCTGTCTGCCCCTTCTGAATATTTACTATATTTTTGGAATTGTGAATCTTGCATCATTTAAAATAAATTAAAAACACAAATATTTGCATCTGGTTGTCCCTTTAAGCTTCACTTGTCTGGATCTAAAATAAAATAATAAAGTATTGAAGGAGAATAATGTTTCTGAGTTACAACAGAAAGGATTTAGGTTTTATTTTTATTATAATGCAACTGTGATTCCTTGCTATTGCTACTGTCTAGATAGCACACCTAAAAGCAGTGCACAACCTAATATTAAAATACTATAGATTAAGCAATGGAAGGACACAGAGGAAGAAGAGAGCCAATTATGAAGGGACACCAACAATTCCTACACAGAACAAGGATCTAAATCCACAAGAAGCAAAGTATTGACATTAGTCAAAAAATAGGCCAAATGTCGCTTTCAGATCATACTTCAAATCACATTCATTGAATTAAACATATTAGTAATTAACTAATTAATAACCTTCACTAATTAAAAATCTTAATTTATACATATTTTATATTAGAATATTTTCCCAATATCCCCACATATTGAATCATCCCTTCATAACATAGACACATTTAAGCTAAAGTAAGCCAACAAGGTGACTCTATTTGACTGTAAATGTCTAATGCCCCCACTTACAGCACCCCACATCTATACTGAGAGGAGAGTGGCCTGATTCCATTTCTTTTTAATAAAAATAAAACCTAAATCCTCTCTGTTGTAACTTATTAATGGATTTTGATCCTAAATTGACCATTGCAATTAGGCTGAGTTTGTTTTTGAAAAAGTGGGACATCCAGAGAACAGCCTTACACAAGAATGCTCCCCTGATGAGTTTTCTGGTTTAATTTTTTCTTAGGGAGGCTGTAATAAACAAGATAACTGGATTTCACAAAAGAAAACCTAGATTCAACCCCTGGCTCTGCCACCAGCTAGCTGTATGATTCAGCCTATGACTTCACCTTCCTCAGTATTAGTCTCCAGATCTGTATAATAGTGATAATCATCCCTGCTCTGCCTAACCTCATGAAATTGTTATGAAGATTGAATGGCAAATAAGAAGAAGACTCAAGAGCCAAGCATTAAGAGAAACATCTTCTGAGTGACAAGTCTTGAAAGCCTATCAAGAAGGTCAGTTCAATTCTTCTCAAACGCTCTCATGGCTTATATCTCACCATCTGTTCTCTTCCAAGCCTAGCTCTGCCATGTTTATGAATAACTGTTTTTTTTTCCAAAGGTAGGGAGAGTAAGGATGGGTTTTAGTTGTCCAGCCTCTGTCTGAAATCTCTCTACAACTCTGGGTGAGAAAGAGAGAGAGAGAGAGAGAGAGAGAGAGAGAGAGAGAGAGAGAGAGAGAGAGAGAGAGAGAGAGAGAGAGAGAGAGAGAGAGAGAGAGAGAGAGAGAGAGAGAGAGAGAGATAATGATAGAGACAGAGAGAGAAAGAGGGAAAGTAAAGTACAGAAAGATACTGAGATATAAATAAAGACAGAAAGGGCGAGAGCTTCATAACCATGAATAACAACTTAAATGTCAAGTATTGGGTATCTTAAACTTAGCAGCAAATGACTAATTAGAAAGGAAACTCAAGAAGACAAAAGAATTTTTCCTGTAAAGATTTACCATGTTCCCCTTCTGTAACCCTTTCACCCCACTCCACTTCAAAAGAGAAAGCATTGCTAGCTACTATGATACACTGAGCAATTTTTTTTACAGATACTGCTCTATCCTTGTACCAATGCAGATGTGAACGAATCTCAGGTGCACAAACTATGAAGAGTTTGTATGAGTTGCAAGTACACACTCTCGTGGAATTAAATTATCTTGGCACAGCTTTAAGACATTGCACAGTCTTTCTGTTACTCTTCTTGTCCTCATTCTCTTGGTAGTATTCCTCTTTTTCCATCCCTGACCCTAAGAGATCACACTTGTTTCTTATTAATTACTCCAACTTATATCTGCAAAGCTCTGTATTTTTAGAAAATCTCATTAACTGTAGCTCATTTGTAGGATTATCTGGCTTCATAATTATCATTTTTGCAAGCATTTTATCCCAAATGCAGATGTGGACCACAGGAAACATAGGGATAAAGAAGTAGAACTCAGTAGACATCAGCATGAATAGAGAGGTAATTCACCAGAAGGCCATAGGAATGTCATATTAGAAGGGATTTGTTCATAACTCAGAGGCCAAGTGAGGCATCTGAGTCATGCAGGGTCAGTAAGACTGTAACCAGGATAACGGACAGGTTTTCTCCCCCAAGTTTCCAGTGAGCATGACCAGGACTTTGCCAGTAATATTATAAAGAGATTAAACAATTTGGTCAGCACATCCTGAAAATTTATTTGAGAAACATTAGGAAAAGACAGAATAAATACCTGCAAGTGTCATAGAGATAAAAATGGGGAGAAACATAAAGTTCTGATGTGTTTTTTTCTGAGAAAAGTTGGAATTTTAGCTATGTTGTGCCTGTCACACTTGTCTATAAATGCTAACCTTAGATATGTGGGAAAATAAAATCTGTTTCTTTAATATCATTTCTAATCATGGCATCACATGAGAGGGAGGGCTAGGAGCTAGAGCCCTTTTCTACATGTATTCTAGTTTATCAGTTTCTTTCTTGAAATTTGACATCAAGAACTAAATACAATAATGCATGTTATTAACTGTGGTCTTAAATTATTGGCTGATGAGTTCTCTGTGTGGCCACAATGATTTCTTCTGACTTTTCCCTCCTTTTCCTCTTTATCATAATTATTTATAGTTGTGCATCCATAATTTGATTCTTAGTAGCCTACCATCACCATTACACCGACTTCTCTAGATATTTTAACCGATGGATAATTACACTTTTTCTGAACTCCTTGATAAATATTAAATCCTAAAAAGCAGGGTATGTATCAGCTTATGCCTAACTTTCTCATCCTTTGTTATGACTTCTAAGATAGTGTTATGTAAGTTGACCCATTATTTCATGTTCAACAGTTACTTTATGCATATCTGAATCATGGTTACAATATCAGTTCCACTTACCATTTCCTCCTCTTTTCAAAGAATGAAATTTTCATTAAGACAAGGCAAGAATTTATCAGCTGCTCTGTTTCTGGCAGAAAGAGACTTCTAGAAGATGTCCAGACATTTGAAGTATCCATAACTATGCTAATATGCCTCTGTACCAGCATTTTTATCTGTTTCCAAAATTCTTCATCTAATTGTTCACCCACTACTTCCTTTCTAATCAGGTCATATTTTTCTTGTCAAATATCTTCTTGGTAGGATGCGAAGTCTGTTCTTTCACTGTACAAAATGCAAGCAAAATATTATGGTATTTTCTCCATCCCAAGGTCAAAGATTCTTTTTTTTTTTGAAATTTATTTTATTAATTTATTTTGATTTATCAACAATCACTTTCATATGCTTTTGCATTTAAAATTTGTGTCCCCCTTCCTCCCCAACACTCTCCCCAAGACAGAGCACAATCTCATATAGGCTATACATTTACATTCTTAGTAAACATATTTTCACATTAATGAAGCTGTAAGTAAAAATTAAAACCAATAGAAGGAGCCATCAGAAAGAGGATACAAAACTCAACAGAAGAGAAAAAAAAATCAATTCAACTTCCACAGTTCTTTCTTTGGATGTGGATAGCATTTTCCATCACTAGACCTCTGGAGATGTCCCCATTCAGTTTTCTTCAGAGGTGTATCATACTTAACTGTTTTAATGTTAACAACATATTGTAGGATTATGGTTTTTAGTCTGTTCTGCTATCCACTTCCATTTTATGGGAGAGTTTATCCCATTCACATTCACAGTTATGATTACTACCTGTGTCTTTTTATCCATCCTTTTTACACCTGTTTAGCTTTTCTTTCTCCTTTCTCCTTTCCCCATCTCACTAGTGTTTTGCTTTTGACCACTGCCTCCTTCAGTCTCTCCTCCCTTCTATTATCTCTTTCCCTTTTCTTCCCCTTTACCCTTACTGTTCCTTCCCTCCCCTCCCTTTTCTTTCCCCTTTTCCCTCCTACTGCCTATAGGACAAGTTAGATTTCTATACATAACTGCTTATGTTATTCCCTTCTTGAGCCAAATCGGATGAGAGTAAGGTTCAAACAATGCTCATCCCCCGCCCTTTTTTATCTCTGGTGTAATAGGAGTTTCTCACTTTTCCTGTAATGTAATTTACCCTTCTCTGCCTCCTCCTTTCTCAGTACATTGTCTGAGATCAGACTAATCCACTTACTCGGATCCATTTAACCCACTTGATTAGATTTTGCTTTTTATCATTACATCAAAGTCAACTAATATCCACCACCTTTATGTATATTCTTTTAACATGATATAACAACAATACAGTTCTCAAGAGTTGTAAGTGTCATCTTCCCTTGTAGGGATGTAAACGGTCCACCCTTATTAGCAACATATTTTACCTTTCTGTCCCATTTACCTTTTTATATGTCTTTCTTGAATCTCGTACTTGAAGATCAAATTTTTTGTTGAGCTCTAGTCTTTTTATGAGGAAGGTTTGGAAGTCTCCTATTTCATTGAATATCCATCTCCTCCCTTGAAAAATCATGCTCATTTTTGCTCAGCAGTTGATCCTTGGCTGCAATCCAAGCTCTTTTGCCTTATGGAATATCATGTTCTACACCCTGCGGTCTTTTAATGTAGAAGCTGCAAGGTCCTATGTAATCTTGACTGTGGTTATTTAAACTGTTTCTTTCTGGCTGCTTGCAGCACCTTCTCTTTCATCTGGTAATTTTGGAATTTTGCTATTATATTCCTTGGCATTGTCAATTTGGGATCTCTTTCAGGTGGTGAGTGGTGTATTCTTTCTATGGTTATTTTGCCTTCTGGTTCTAGGACTTCAGGGCAGTTTTCCTTTATGGTTTCCTGAAAGATGCTGTCCAGGCTCTTTTTTTCATCATGATTTTCAGGTAATCCAATAATTTTTAAATTGTCTCTCCTGGATCAATTTTCCAGGTTGGTTATTTTACCAATGAGGCATGTTATGTTTTCATCTATTTTTTTCTTTTTTTTTTGTTTCTGTTTGACTTATTCTTTCTCTGTCATAGAGTCATTAGTTTCCATTTGTCCAATTCTAGTTTTTAACATATTGTTTTCTTCTGTTATCTTTTGTACTTCCTTCTCCAATCCGCCAATTGCATTTTTAAGGGATTTGTTTTCTTCAGTGTACTTTTTTTTTCCAGTTTGCCAATTGTGTTTTTTAAAGACTCTACTACCTCTCTTATTAGAATTTTAAAATCCTTGTTGAGCTCTTCTAAGAAGGCTTTTTGGGCTTCAGACCAGTTCATATTCCTTTTCGATGTTGCAGATGTGGGTTTGTTGACAATGTTGTCCTCTTCAGAATTTCTGTCTTGATCTTCACTCTTCTCATAATATGAGTCTATGGTACATTTCTTTTTACTCATGGTTTATTTATTCCCTGGCCTTTAAAAAGATTGAGCTCTCCTGCTGGGTGACAGAGGGCACTGACCCAAGCTTCTTGTGTTGGGAGCCTAGGTCTTGGTCACTGGCTTTGTGTGCTGGAGACTCTTACGTTGGCAGTTGGAGGCTGTAGGTTTCTGGCAGCTTACCTCATGTTGGGCTGGAACCAGCAAGGCTGGGACTTTCAGGCAATTCTAGGTTGCCTGCTTTTCCTTTCTTTCAGCTTTCTTCAGCTTCTTTTAGATGGGTGCTGCAGGGTGTTTATCTGCCTGGGGGCCCTTGCAGTGCTGCCTCCCTCATTTCTACTAATGCACTGGGAGATTCCTTTGAGGTATAATGCCGAGGCATCTGGTGGTTTTCTGAGCTGGTTTCCACCAGTTTCACTGCCCTCACTGAGGCACTCGGATATCCAGGTGTTGGCGTTTGCCTGCTCTACCACCTGGGCTTCAGGATCTCCTTCTGGTTGACAGTTGGAGGCTGTAGGGTTCTGACAGCTTACCTGGTGTTGGCTTGGAATAAGCAAGGCTGGGAATTTAGGTAGACTCTAGGTTGCTTTCTTCAGCTCCTTTCAGATGAATGCTGCAGGGTACTTATCTGTCTGGTGCCGTTTGTAGTGCTGCTTCTCTTGTTTTTGCTGAGGCACTAGGAGACCCGTTTGCTGGGCTGCTGCACTGCTGTTCCCCGTCTATCTTCTAGTTCAGTTGTTCCTGTCTTTTTTTTTTCTGGGGTGATATTTTCTGGGTTTTCAGAGGTTGATAGGGGAGTGTGAGAGCAACTACCTTTTTATTCCACCATCTTGGCTCCCAGAAGCAAAAACCAAGGTCAAAGATTGAATTACATTGATGCCTACCCTTCTCCACAGCCTTTTTTTTTTTTTCTATGAAGCGAAACACTTTCAAATGTAGAGGGAAAGAATCCTGCCCTATTAACAGGAATTTGCTTCCTCTACCCAACTGGTATAACTCATTGGGATGCACTATTCTCTTGCCTTTACTAAGCCAAAGAATAGGTAAATAAATATAACACTTATGCATTTTTGATCACCTAGAAGACATCTTGGTGTCAGGAGTTAAGATATTGCCAGTGATTGTTAAGCAGTGTTATACCTCCATTTCCCATCTCTAAATAATCTTCCTTGCCAAAGGTATCTTAGAGATAAGTGTTACACAATCTAAAAATTTAACTACCTTAGCTGTGGTATTCATTGTTTCTAATCCTTTCACAAATTCAAAACCATTCAAAATATATTCATTCCCAGCATATCTCCCCTAATTTCTGAGAGCTAAATACAAGACTTAGTTTTACAGTGAATGACAGAAGATGATAATAAGTTCACATTAATAGGACAATCTCTTCTTTATCCCCTCTGGCATTATTTTTCATCTCAACTTCATGAGTCTATAAAGGATTTGTAATATTAAATAATGATGAAAGAAATACAATTCTGTGGTACTAAGAAAAGAGAAGTATGCCATGAATAATTTCAGTCTTAATAAATACAGTCAATAGAGAGAGGGTAAGTAGAGTCCTGTTTTGCCTTCTGGTCACTGTTCATAGCTATTCCCACTAGGCCCCTCTGCTTCAAAGAGAGACATTGGTATAATAGAATAATAAAAGCACTTTCTTTCTGTCTTTTTTCACCCCAGATATTGGGTATTATATTTTAAAATTTCACTTGTTCTTATTAAAGGCTTCAGAGATGGGGCTTCTTGGTTTGGAGGTAACGTTAGAGGGCTCAAAATGAGAACAAGTAGGTCTCACAGCATACATAACGTTCCTTGTGAGAGATACTCTATAATAATTTTCTCATAAGGCAAAACTTTTGATTACATTGTGTTGTTTCTAATTTAACAATGAAAATAATTAAATTTTAAGGCTTTAGTCTTTCATGTTTAGCAATTTAAGATATATTGATATTTTCAAATGAGGGTCAAAAATGATACCTAAGGAAGCACTAACTCCTCCCTCTCCCTTGGCCTTCAATTATTACCTTGTTATGGCAGAAGGGCTTCAATGAAACTATGAGATATGCCATGTAGAATTAATCAGTGAAATTAAAAAATGCTTGCTCCTTGGAAGGAATAATATGGCAAATCTAGAGAGCATACTAAAATGAAGAGACATTACCTTGCTGACAAAGGTCTATATAGTCAAAACTATGTTTTGTTTTGTTTTGTTTTTCCAGTAGCAATGGGTATCTATGAGATGTGGACTATAAGGAAATCTGAATGCCACCGAACTGATGCTATTGAATTGTGGTCCTAGAGAAGACTTTTGAGAGTTCCTTATACAGAAAAGAGGTCAAATCATTCTATACTTAACGAAATTAATTCAGGCCATTCACTGGAAGGTCAAATATTGAAGTTGAAGCTTAAATCCTCTGGCCACATAATGAGAAGTTGAGACTCATTGGAAAAGACTCTGATGCTGGAAAAGACTGAGGGCAAAAGGAAAAAGGGGACGGGAAAGGAAAAAAATGTATGGATAGTGTCATGAAACAAAAACAACACACATGAACTTGTATACACTTTGAGAGATAGTTTAGAAGGGCACAGCATGCTATGGTCCATGGGGTAACAAAGGGGTGGATATGCCTGAATGACTGAACAACAACAACAATGAAGCAGAAGCTGTACTATAAGTGATTCCTTTCTTTGTTTAAACCAGGAATTCTTAACTTTTACATGTTGTTAGTCAATAAGCATTCATTATGGACCTTCTCTGCACCAAGCACTGTGCTAAGCACTGAGGATACAAAAAGAGGAAAAAGACAAACCCTGACCTCAATGAATGTGTGTGTGTGTATGTTTGTGTGTGTGTGCTTGTTATAGACCATTTTGGCAGACTGCTGAAGGCTATGGACTCCTCAGAATATTTTAATAATTGAAGGAAATGTTAAATTTCAATTAAATCTTAATGAAAATAAAGACTTGTTTTTCCTGCCCAAGATCATAAGCCCCTTTATCTATCATTGGACCTCTTAGGTGTTCATTTATTAAAGTAACAAATGGTTAAAAAGTGACTATATTGTGAAAAAATCTTTTTTTCTTGGTGAAGCAGTTTGTAAATTTAGTGTAATCAAAAGCCCTTTGAAAACTATAATGCACTACATATCAATTATTACCATCATTATGATGATGATGATCATTGTTACCGTGGTACTAAAAACCCTGGACCCACTACTCCGCTTGTCACCCACTCCCCACCATTCTGCAATATTTAATTACAGAGACTTTATTCAAAGAAATAGCAAATATGTACATTCCCTTCATATATATGTATATTGCATAATATATGCTTAGCATGTGCACATACACACATGAACACACTCAATGTGTGTATATATATGTACATGAATATGTTTACTCTCTCTGCATAAGTGTGTGTGTGTGTGTGTGTGTGTGTGTGTGTGTGTGTGTGTGTACTCTCTATTATTCTATGTGTGTTTATCTGAGAAGGAAGGAGGGAGGGAAGGCGGGAGAGAGAGAGAGAGAGAGACTTAAGAACCCCTGGTCTAGGGTATGGAGAGACTGGAGTCAAAGTCTAGCATCTGAGGATGCCTCCTTATTAAAGAGATTCTTTTGTATTAAAGATTATGCCACCAGGAGATTATAGTTTTGCTTATGGTATCTCATAAATACTCTTTACTACAACATAAAAGAATTTCATTCTCTCAAAAGAGTGTTAGAGGAAGCACCCATAGTCATGAAATTACTATTCTTAAAATATTGAAGAAAATCTTGATCTGTTGACAAGACATAGAGGGAGAGACACCTAGTAGGCTCTAGGGAAGTTAATCTACTCAGTTTTGAAACTCCCGCCCTGGTCTGAGATACACTGATTACTGAGTGAGTAGATGATTAAAACATTCTTAACCCACTGTATAAAGCTGGCTCCAGACTATATTTCATATCTCATCTAGCCACCAACTCCAATCATTTTACCATGGGTCCTAAGGACTTTCCCCACCTTCCCCTACCTTCTACCTCTTACTTTGGGCACATTATTAAAACTAATACTATTATTGCCTGTAAAATGGGTATGCATCATCTTCCCCATTGGAATGCAGTTTCCTTGATGTTGGGACTACCTCTCTACTATATTTTTATTCCAAGCACTTACTGTAGTACATGGTACATAGTAAGTGTTTCACATTTTTAATTCATTAATCTTTAATACCATTAGACTCAGCATCATTACTGTTACCACAACTATAGCTATTCAATCAAGCCCCATCCCAAACATCCTCTCTCTCTCTCTCTCTCTCTCTCTCTCTCTCTCTCTCTCTCTCTCTCTCTCTCTCTCTCTCACTCTTGCTCTCTCCGTCTTATAATTTGTAATCAGAAAACTTGCCTAACCTTCACTCAACTAATAAGAACAATAAATGCTTTACTAATTTCAAGCATTTGGACTCAAAAGTTAACTTGATAAGTATTTATATTGTATACTATGTATACTATCATAAAAGTATAAACAGATAGATGAAAGACTCATCTCAATTCAACAACTCAACAAATATTTTATATGGGAATAATAAATAGATTATAATATAAAATACAATAAAAAGATTTAATTTTAATAAAAATATTTTAAAAGAAATAGTTTCTGTCCTCAAGGAGCCTATTGGTAGAGGGTTGGAGGGGGGAAATATATAAATATATTAAGATGCTAAGTGAAGTGAAATTTCAACTTATGGATGAGGAAAATGGGAGACAGATCTATGGAAAGGATGGCGTGTGAGTTGGATGTGAGAAAAATCAACAGATAGAAATGGCTGAGGAATGAATTCTAGGTATGGGGGTCAACACTCACAAAGGTAGAAATTAGGATGAAGCATAGTCTAGTTTTCTACAACAAAAATGGAAATACGGAAAATGGAGTAGTGGGAGATAAACCTGAGACGGCCAATCACAGAATACTGAATGGCTGCAAGGGAAGACATTATGTCACACATCTGAAACCTTTGTGTAGGTTTCATGTAACCACAATGCTCATAAAATTTAATATTGGAAGAAATCTTGAGAAGCGTGTGATTCAACTTGCTAATTTTATAGATAAAGCAACTCAGAAATATAGATATTGATTGATTTATTAAAAAAAAATAACAACTAGTTGTGTGGCTGGTGCACAAACCCAGGTGCCAAATTTCCCAGTCCAGTGTTCTTTCTAGTACACCATGCAGAAGTATCAAAAAATTACTTTAAGGAAAGAATTAGTGTATTTGTAACTTCACATTCTTCTGAGCTTCTTTAAAAAAGTATAAAAAAATAGTGCCTTGACCAGGTAAATTGAAGAATGATTCTTTTTTTGCCAGATACTTGCAGTCATAAGAAACTTACCTACAAAGAATAGCAAGAATGATACCTTTCAATTAAAAATCAAAAGAACTGCTACATCATTTTCTGTCCCCCTCACTGACAAGTGAACATAAGACTGACTTAATGCAGTAGAATAATAAAAATGCTTTTCTGTGGGCTTCAGGAAAGATTTTCATTGTATCTCAACACATCTTCCCATAACAATCAATGATTCTGCCACCATATGGGAAGTCCTGCTTATTTTATATGTATATACACAGTTAAACTAACCTACAGATCAGAGACCCTCTTCCTCTATTTCTTCTTAATACTTTTGACTCTGGCCAATGTTTTGGAATGAAGTAAATGGGGATGGCAAATAGTTAAGGGACATCTAATAAGTGTACTATTTATGGCAGTAATAGTGATATGTTAGGCAATAAGCTGCCTAAAAACTTGTTTAATCCTAATGCTCTGGGGATGGGATATTGTGGTTAATTTTAGTTTCTGTTTAGCATATACTTAAGAAATTTGAAGTTGAGGATTAACTGAAAGATAGTGAAGAGGACATTCATAACAACTCAGGAATAATGCAGAAGTAGCAGAAAGTATGTCATAACATAAATGTTTGTCAAGAAAAAATGAAGTGTTCTGAGAACAGAGAGAAAAATAGATGGATAGTCCATGTGCTCTATTGGTTGGTATTCACACAATAACAAAATGTCAAGAGAAAGGACGTCAACATTTCAAGTGAACAATCAGGACAGATTTACAGGAAAACATGGGCCTGAGTCATAAGCTAGTCAAACATAGATGGAATGTGATTAGCATCTTTGGAATGAGTACCTGTATTAATAAGATCAAAGATCTATTCAAGTTTCAAAGGATGTACTTAACATAAAACTCTTTTTTGGCCACAATCTTTATACTTAAAGAACATTCTAAAATGCATGAATGTTCTCTGTCAGAGTAGTCATTGTAAAGTAATGAAAATCTTTTACTCTCCCTAATTACAGAAGAAAGGTCTCATGATGAAGTTTCATCAGACAAGACATCATTGAAAGTTGGAATTAAAATTATAGGAATTAAACAAGATTTGAAAAGTTAGGCTGAATGTGGACTCCCTAAAAGACATCCCAGCTCTGCTACTTATTTATCCATATTACTTTGGAAAAGTCATTTATCTGGGAAAAGGACCCACATGTACAAAAAATATTTATAGCAGCTCTTTTGTGGTGCAAAAAATTGGAAAGTGAGGGGGTGCCCATCAATTGTGGAATGGCTGAACAAGTTGTGGTATTATGAATGTAATGGAATACTATTATGCTATAAGAAATGATGAGCAGGCAGACTTCAGAAAAACCTGGAAAGACTCATATGGACTGATGCTAAGTGAAGTGAGCAGAACCAGGAGAATGTTGTACACAGTAACACCCATGTTGTGCAATGACTACTATTGATAGACTTAACCCTTCTCAGCAATGCAAAGATCTAATACATCTCCAAAGGCCTCATGATGGAAAATGCTATCCAAGTCCAAAGAAAGAAGTATGGAGTTTGAATGCAGATCAAAGCATACTATTTACTCTTTTTTTTTTCTTCTGTTGTGTTTTGTTTCCTCATTCTTGTGGTTCCTCCTACTGGTTCTAATTCTCCCTTACAACATCACTAATGTGAAAATGTGTTTAATAGGAATGTATATGTATATATATGTATAGCTAATATCAGATTGCATGCCGGACTTGGGAAGGGAGGGGGAGAAACATTTAAAACTCGAAAGCTTATGGAAGTGATTGTTGATAAACCAAAATAAATTAATAAAGTAAAACACAGTCATTTGTCTGGGCCTCATTTACCTCAATTGCAAGATAAGAAGATTGGACTGGATCTCTAAATCCTATATTTTGAATCCTATGTTCTCCTACTATCTCAAACTATATCCTATTGATGGTTTAAAAATAATTATCTGATATGAGCTTATTCTTTAAAAAATAAACATCACAAAAAATAAACAGAAATACAAT